GGATGCTGGCACGCTGGATGCTTGTCTGGAAATCCAAAATGAGTGAGAGGAATTCTGGGGTGTATCTCTACAGGTCAGCTCGGCGGTTTTAAAGGCAGGCCTGCTCTCTTCTCCTCACTGGTACAGCAAGTCATCTTTTTTCCCCTGAAATACACCAGTTCCGTCAGTGTTGAGAATCTGTGGAGGCAGGTAACTGCTGCTCTGCTCAGTGATGGCTGCTGGAGAGGAAAGGGATTCAGTCGTGATCATGAGATGGGCCTGCCCATGACGCTGAATGTACCTGAGCTCTGGGGACCACCGCATCTTCACTGAGCTCAACCCCTGAGCTGGGGTTGACTGGGGGCAGTTTTGTACCGCAGGGGATATTTGGCAACATCTGGGGACATTTTGGGTTGTCCTTGGTTGGGGGAAGGCTGTCAAATGTCCTGCAGTGCACAAGACAGCCATCGCAACAGAACTATTCAGCCCCAAATACCCACTGTGCCCACGCTGAGGAGCCCTGCTTCTTCATAGCTGAGTGAGCTTTGATGCTGCCTGCCCACTGAGAAGCCACTCCATTTCACCCTTCCCTTTCTCTATCAGCCCCTGATTGCATGTTTAGAGTTCTTATTCATCCTTGTAATTGGCCTGTAGACTTTCAGAACCATCCCCCTGGGGAACCATTCATCCCCTTCATAAACACAGCATCCCAGCATTTCAGCTCTTTCAATTTTAAAACATGTCCGATTTCCTGTTGTAGTTGTACACTGCTTTCTTTCTGTGTTTCTGCTACTCTCCCTGCCTCAGTAACTGTTGGCCAGGGTGCGGTGGGTTGGTTACCGCTATGGAAAGCCTCAAAGCCAACATCAACCCCACAGCCGGACCTTAGGACTCACTGGCTAGTTGGTGTGACATGGGCGTCTAGCAGCAGATGAGAGTGACTCACCCCTGCACTGAAGCCAAACTCTATTTTGTCAAATTGGGAGCTCAGAGTAGAAGCTTCTGTCTGCCTGTCAGTATGGGGAGGGTGAGGCTGTGAGGGATGGAGAGGGATGAGGGAAGGGCATTGGGGACCAGGCTGAGGGTGGATCTTATAGGGATACAGGAAATCTGCTCTATTTCTGACTCTTCCCCTCATTCTCTCCATGACTGGAGGCAAGAATCCAAACTGGTCTTGGCAGTAGTTTCTCCTTTGCAAATCTGGGTCCCTGGTGCCTGTCTGGAGGCAGGCTGTGGGCAGGAATGTCGCTCTTTTCTCTGCCTTTCATCTGGGCATCTGGATTCAGGATGTGCTCCTAGTGTCTAAGATTTTGATAGGAACTTTACGGAAGCTGATGCTCCTCTACGGGCCTTCCCTGGTGCCTCAGTTGGCAATGAACCTGCCTGCAATGCAGGAGATCCAGGTTCGATCTCTGAGTCCGTAAGATCCCCTGGAGAAGGGAATGGCAACCCACTCCAGTATTCTTGCCTGGGAAATTCCATGGACAGAGGAGCCTGGTGGACTACAGTCCATGGGGTGGCAAAGAGTTGGACACGACTTAGCGACTAACACACGTACACACACGCTCCTCTACAAATCTTAACAGGACAGTAAAAGGTTTTTAATGATGTGTTTCAAAGCTGCAAAGATGATGAGCATAGAAAGCAAATTGAAAACCTCAAGTTGCATGGTAGAATCAATGAGGCTCTGCCTTATGTGGCTGCAGGTTGCTCAAGTGCTGTTAACCCAGTAGGTGCAGTAGGTCCACATACTCCCTTGGAACCTGTGGTCATCACAACCCTTCTCAGCTCATCTCACCTCCAGAGCCTGCTCGGTTGTGGAAGTCAGACCTCTACCCATCTTCCCCACCAGCTGGACCTCTATTAGCTACTGTGAGCTGTCATCAGGGTCCTGCGCCAGTAGGGCAGGCAGTGGACACTCTTCACCAAGGAAAAGCCTGACTCCTTCTGGGGCTGCTATGTTGTCCCCAAACACCGTCCCAGTATCTTTCCTTAAAGCAGTGATGGATGCTCTGATGCTGATGGGTCCATCAAATTAGCTCAACCTCAAAGCGTCTAATAGGCTCCTCTAGATCTATCTCAGTGCCAACAACACAGCACCTCAGGACACTGTCTAAAGCACTCGGGTACCAAAGAATCACTTAATCCACATTCCAATGGAACAGGTGATGCTGACCTTGTTGATGCACAAGACATGACTGATGATGAAGCAGAGGTTAGGTCTGTGGAGGAGCATGAGAGGTTATCCTGCATTTCTTATCACAGGTTATGCTTGGAATGGATCTTGTTAAGGTAGTTCTTCTGACAGTTACTCTTGGGGGAAACTCTCTTCTAGAAATGTATGCAAACTTTTGCACATCCAGATCTGCCTCTGAGTATCTGAGACTGGGAGGATTCCAGGGACCAAGTGGTTTGGGTGATGAAATGGTACCTCTCTTAGCCTTTTATGCAGGAAGAAAAGAACCAATTTGCCAAAAAACTGTACAACCCCATTTTGGGTGTGATTGTGAAGCATCCCAGGACGCTACCAAATGACACTGAAGGGAATCCTGAGCTAGTTTTGGAGGGTTTCTTAAAATAGTTTAACATTCATGGCTGAGCAGCTATTCCATCGTCCATAGCCTTTTATGCCAAGTGTTTTAACAAGAAGATGCATTCCAGTGTTCATATTTGGACCAGATGAAAATTTCTTAAACTGTCACTTGACACTCATGACACAGGGCAGGGCTGTGCCTGGTGTCTAGACTATGGCAGCCATTACATTCTTACAGTCCCTGGGGAGTTATGGAAGCCCTGGACAGGGTGGAGACCTCGGTGGAGCTAGGAGGAGAATGCCGTAATAATTGTTCCAAAATGAGCTATATGCAAATATTGTCACCCACACCACACCTTTCTATGGGAGCAAGAAGCACAAAATTACACTAAGTTTTTTTTTCTTCTCCAAATGACAAGAAATCTTTTTGCTCACTTGAAGGGAAATGGAATGATGTAAAGTGTGAAAAATACTCCGTGGGGATCTTACAATCTTTACAGAGACCAAGAAGTTGCTGGTCATCAGGAGGAAAGTGGGTTGGAAGAACAGAATGAATATGAATCCCCCTGCCTCTGCAAGGCTGTCCCTCTCAACTGGAAACTCAGAGACATAGGTGGGGTCCCGAAAGGCAGGCACAGTCATGAAGAAAGGCAAAGAGCAGAAGCCTGAGGAAGGAAGGAGAGAAATTCAGCGGGGTTCTAGGTTATTCATGAAGATGGAAAATGCTGGCTTTATGGCGAACCATGACTGAAACTTCATGGTACTTCTAAGCACTCGGTTGGAAAATGCAAGAGTCTTACTTTGAGAGAACCTGTTCACTCCCGTCTTGCTGCAGGTGCAATCTCAGGGATACAGACAGACCTCAGAGATGTTGTGGGTTCGTTCCAGACCCATGCAGTAAAGCAAGTCATATGAATTATTGGTTTCCCAGTGCATATGAAGGTTAGGTTTACACTATCCTGTAGTCTGTCAAGTGTGCAATAGCATTATGTCTAAAAAACAATGTGCATATCTTAATTAGGAAATACTTTATTGCCAAAAATGCTAACCATCATGATCTTCAATGAGTCGTAATCTTTTGTAATAATGTCAAATATCACTGATCATGGATAACAGTAACAAAGATAGTAATAATGAAACAGCTTGAACTGCAGAGTAAGCAAATGCTGTTGGAAAAAATGGTGCTGATAACTTGTTCGATGCAGGGTTGCCATAAACCTTCAATTTGTAAACAAACAAGCAAACAAACAGAAAACCCCACAGTATCTGTGAAGTGCAATAAAGAAAAGCTCAATAAAATGAGGTCTGCCTGTGTTGGGCTTTCCAGTGCAGATGTACAAGTAAAGTAAGAAAAGTGTCCCATTCTTCCCTCTCTGCGACAATTTCAATTTTGACTTATAAACTTTAGGGTTTGAAAATGTCTACTCCCCAAACCCCACACCCTGGGAAACATTTCAAAACCCCAGCCTCAAACTGCATGTTCTAGTACTGCTATTGAGGTATGCAACATCTGTTTCCTGGTTTGTATAATGTTAGGATGTACGTTTGTGTATAATGCACCCAGTGCCAGATTTTTCCAAAATATTCCGCCTGCTATAAATGTGATTCCTCTCAGTCCTTTATAGAAAACTAATTGCATGTACTAATATTAAAATTAAGTGCTGGTCTCTCCTATAATAACTTTAATTTGGGGATTGAACTATTATTAAATTATATCTAACTCTGCTGAAGTGTTAGTTCCTCAGTTGTGTCTGACTCATTGCAATCCCATGGACTGTAGCCTGCCAGGCTCCTCCGTCCATGGGATTCTCCAGGCAAGAATACTGGAGTGGGTTGCCATTTCCTTCTCCAGGTGATCTTCCCAATCCAGCAATCGAACCTGAGTCTTGTGCACTGTGGGCAGATTCTTTACATCTGATCCACCAGTAAGCCCTGTCTAACTCTGGGCTCCTATTTAATCATACTCACTGCTTCTTAAGGCTTCCTAAAGTAATTTTTTGAAAATGCAAACCTGTGTTTTACTGAACTGCTCACAGCATTTCACTAACTTCTCATGGTTTTTAGAGCAAAGGCCAGAATCCTTGCGAGGCCTCCTAGGTCCTTTGTGGTGCAGCCCCTGCAGGCTCCCTATGCCCCCTGCCTACCTTTCTGGGCTCTGGCAACTGGACCCCCTTCTGTGCCTTGAAACCTCCAGGATTTCTCCATATCTGGGTCTTCCCATGTGCCTTTAAAGTGCCACCATCTGGCCCCCCCTGAAGAGCGGCTGGACTCAGATGTGTGTAGATCACTCGGCTTGTCAAGGGGTTTTGGGTGCATTTGTCTTATAGGGACCTGGTGTGTAGGTTTGCCTGTGGGTGTGGAGGGGTGACGTGGACATGACGAAACTTGAAATCCTCAAAGCGCTGGAGATGGGAGATCAGGTGAGTGAGGACAAGAGATGGTTCCTCTGTGGCCCTGCAGCTCTAACTCTCTGTCGCTCTGTTCTTAGGTGGAAGGGCGCATCAGTGAACTGGAATGGCTCGGAACCCATCCTGTGACCCTCTGTGGGGATGAGCCTCATGGCTCCACCTCTTATCACTAGGGGTGATGGCGGAGCCCCGGGCCTCAGGGACAAGTCGGGGCCAGCACCTGAACCAGCACTGCCACACAAGTGTCCGAAACCTGCCTGCCTCTTCCATGAAGAGCCTGCCGGGGAGCGATTCGGGCCCAGTGCGCTGCTGTGTAGCCCCTCCCAGCTGAGCTGTGACTGCCAAGGGAGGCTGGTGGGATCTCTGCTGCCTTTTCTGTGCATCCCTCCCTGACTCCGTCAGGCCGTCCCCTCATCAGACCTCTGATGTGGTCAGCCGAGGGATCCAGGGCACTCGTTATTTCTGAGAGTTGGTTTCTATAAACCATGAGTCGGATCTTTGCTGAGGGCCAGTCTCATTTGTTCTGTTGCTGCAAAGGAAGCTTGAGGTTTGCAAGGTTCATAGCTGGGGTGGGGGGTGGGGGTGGTGGTGGTGACGGGTGGAGGGGACCAGAGCCCTGGAGACTTGTGGGCTCAGTCATCACCCAGCAAGAGTCTGTATGTGAGCCATACCCTGTGGCCCAGAGGTGTCCCTGGCTGGGCTTATGGTCTGGCCTGCCTTCTGTTGATCAGCTCATGTCTGAGACACCAAGCTCCATAAGCAGTCCTGACCAGGAGTAACTCAGGCCCCCTGGGACCCCATCTCAGGGCTGACCTTGATGCCTGTGAGGCCCCATGAGGATGGACATGTGCACTGGAGGGTAGGCTACACCTGGCCAAACAGGTATGGGGAAGAGAACCTTCTAGGGAGGGACCCTTTGGCCCCAGAGGACAGTAAGATGAGGATGAGAAGAGGGACTAGATATGGTCCCTTGTGTGACTGTAGTGGGGCATGTGTGGAGAAAACTGGCTGAAATGTGTGTGGGCAGAGAGAGCCCATGGAGACCCTCGCACTCCAGATTGAGGGTAGAGTAGGTGGGAAGGGTCGAGTACGTGGGAACAGGGAAGACTCCGTAGTCACCCGAGAAGAGAAAATTGTACCCGGAGCCTCCTTCATTCCAATAATTTATATCCTACGGATCCCAAAGAGGAGCACGAGCAAGCATAGAAATGCAGTGGGAGGCTGGTGAAGAAGGAGACCAGAGATTTTTGTGAAAAACGGGAGCTACGGAGCCCTCTGCAGTGGCTCCCCACAGTGGGCTGAGCGAGGGTACCCAGAAGCAGAACACAGCCGCCAGGAACCTCTGTCACCTGGCTGTCCACGTGGGAGTCAGGAGCTGCATTGTGGACGAGTCCCCCAACCCCCACCCCACACACGCCTGGCTGTGCCCCTCGAGTGCTTGGCTGGGCTTCTGAGTGGGCCCTGCAGAGGAGAGTGTTCACACGCAAGGACCAGGCATGCGCTCCTCCCACATCTGCCCTGACCCGGGGAGAATTGTAGACACTGGACGGCAGCCAGTCCCCAGCTTCCGTGTCCCCCCTTAAGGCTCAGGACACAAACAGCTCGGGGGTTGTGATCCCCCTGCAGTGCTAGCCGAAAGGAGACCCCCCCCCCCTTTAAGAGCCAAGCATACAGCAGGCAAAGCTGGCATTTGGTGGTGACCACTAAAGAGCCTGTTCAGTGCTTTCGCAGGCTGGGTAAAAGCAGTGGCGGGACTATGGGTCTTTGGGGAGCAGCAAGTAGGAGCCGGGAGGGAAGTGAGAGGCCAGGAGTGCTTTGTCCTGGCTGTGCCGAGGCCCCTGTGGGGTTTGCTGTGTAAACTCCAGTGGCCATTCACTGTAGGCGTCCAGCAGAAACGCTTCCTATATGTCCCTGAAATGTTTACGCATTTGTTTTCCTTGGCCAGGGTTAGGCCGCTCCAGCTGAGTGACCCGGGGGAGGAAGTCGGTTTCCCTGCAGCAGCCTTGTTTATCAGCCTGGGAAGGAAAAGTGTGTCTTTTCAATAAAACACTTAACCTTCTGACCAGGGCACCATTGGCGGAGCTGGAGAAATCAAAATATTCCCAGCATTGCTTGAGGAGATCAGTTCCAACAAATCACAAAAGCACTTTTTCTAGAAGCCAAGACACAGGTACAAGTGCAGTATGACGCCCCTGGCCTGGAATTTTCTGGAAAGGAAGATGAGCAAAGCCCGACACCACCCTCTTCCAGGTCCACAAATCAGAATGAGCCCACGGTGCTGCCGCCAAACTTGTAAGAATGAAATGTAGGCCCTGCCTCCTTGCACATGGCTTTCCCATCTGGCCTGCAGAGTTTTTGAGGGAGACTGTGGGTGAGGGTCCATAGTGCCCCCAAATTATATTAAACTTTTTGTGCACGTGTACATTTGTGTAATTTTCTGTGGAGAGAGTCTGTAGCTTACCTCACAGCTTTGATCTTGCAACAAGTCCCTCTCTTTTCCCCCAAAAGGTTAAGAACTATATCCTAGGGTTGAGTGACCTCTCAAGGGCTGAACCTGGGCTTGGCTGCTCCCTCTCTGGCCTCCACATGCACGGGGGAGCCAGTTTATTGAACAAGCAGACCTCTGTGGGATGCGAGCAGGAAGCAGCTTTATTCTTTCTCATTACAGTTGGCTATCTGTATCCATGGATTCTGCACCAGCGGATACTGAGAGCCCAGCTATGGGACTTGAGCATCCTTGGGATTTGGTACCCTTGGCGCCTCCTGGACCAGTCCCCCTCGGAGACCAAGGGACATTGTCTGCATTTCCGCTTGGATTTCTTTTCTGTGGTCTTGGTCTCTTGGCCTCTGGATGAAAGGGCAGTCTGGTTCCACTGCTCTTCTGGCAGTGTGAACAGTAAGACCAGGCTGATGGCAACACTTAAGTTCATGCTCTCATCACTGGAAAGTTCCTTCTCCTCCTGCTAGTCTTATGGGGGAAACTCTAAACCACAGGGGTCCCTCCTGAGTCAGGTGACTCATCCCCAAGCTGGAGCTCATGGAGGCTCCCAGCACTGGCCCCACCCCCACTTCTAGTAGAGTCAACCTCCCTCTTTTCCTAACTCCAGAAAGACTGGAGTCTTCCTTCTGCAGGATCCATGTTTGAACCAAGCAAAGCCCCAGCACATCTTCTCCTCCTCGGATCTTTTCCCCTCAGGCTGCCTGCCTGCTCAGCCACCCATCGGGAGTAGCGGCATCTTATTATCCCCAGGCAGGAGTCAAGGACAGTCCCACACTCAGGGCTCACATGACTGGCTTTTGAAGAGTTTTCTTGAAGCCTCCCTCCCTTGGCTCCGGGAGAGGACATGCTTTATTAGGAGGAAGTGGGGAAGGGGATCCCAGTACACGGATGCCTCCTCAATGAAGCCCTCGCCACCTGCTGGCTGACTCCACCACCAGCCCAGGGCTTTCTCACCTTCTCCTGCAGCTGGTGGGTGTGATGGTCCAACCTTGGCAGAACTGTTTACATCTGTCTAAGTTCTACACAGCAGATGCATAGGTAAGAGTTTCCAGAAGAGTTGAGAACTCCCTGGGGATCAGAGTCGGGCCAGGGATTAGAGGGGCATTGGGGGAAATCCTAAGGTGGGGTTTCATCCAGACCCCACCTGACTGCTCCCCAGGGTCTCCGTATGTGTCTGAGCCAGAAGTCAGGAGCCAGGCTGGGGCCTGGCCCATCAGAGACACTGCTGATGGGAGAGCGGGCAGCCGTGGACCCAGGTTCCTGGGAGGGCTGGGAGTGGTGAGGGGAGAGCCTTGGAAGCTCTGCCCTAAAGCTTAGTGGGGTCACAGTTTGGAAACACAGAAGTCATCTCCATAATGAAAAGTACTGAAGGAGTGAGCAAGTGGAATGCCATATAGACACGGGGAAGAAGTCAGTCACATTGGGAGCAGAAGGCCTGAGTTTAGTCCTGAATCACTGCTTCCTGCCTGTGTAGCTGTGAGCACTTGACATAAGCTGTCTGGACCTGTTTCCTCATTGGTAAAGTGAGCCCTCATCAGGTCATAATGAGGACGAGGGGCGTCACTACCCCGTGAGCACGGGGAGCAGGGCTGCACATCCCAAGGGCCAGGGAAGTGTTTGCTCTTCATATTTCCAGCATGAATGAGGAGAGGTGCCTCGGTCCTGCATCTAGCCTCGACCGTGAATCAGGATGGGTTCTAACAAGCAAAGAACTGGATGGAAGATTCTTCCATGTGAGCCCACCGGAGTCCATGATGCGGATTGGTCTCACTGGGGATGACGTAAGTGAGAGGCTCCAAGGATTAGGAGAGGGGGCTGAGGAGGTGAAGACCCGAGACAGCAGGTCCTGAGATGGGGTGTTTTCTCTGGAGACAAGGACTGCTCAGAGCTTTCCTTCACCTTTCTCCTTGGTGGGGGTGTGGGTGTGGGTCAGAGAAAGGGGCACATCCAGGGACTATTGTGGTGGCTCCAGGGGAGCAGTCCTAGCGGAAAGGCAAGGAACCAGTGGTGGGGGGACCAGTGCTATGGCCTTCGTCAGTGGCGGCCCCATGGATGATCCTCACTGGCCACTGATTCCTTACTGGATCCTGACACTTTCAGGGGGTAAAGAGGCCACCAAGTCCATCTGCAAGTATTTCTCTCCAACCACCAGAGTCCTCCTCACTCCCTAATCATTCTCTAATCCTCACAGGCCTGTGGGAGCTGTAATTACCAGGCAAAAATGCCAGGCATTCGTGATAATGGAGATTGCTTAATGCGGGACGAGAGGTGGGCTGGACCAGTGTGCAGGCAGACTTCCCATGGGTCGCAGTGCACACTGCCAGGGCCTCTACGTTCCTGGGGTTGCCGCTCCAGCAGACCCACTCTGCATGAGAGGGGGCAGAGCACCCAGCCTGGCCAAGTATTCAGTCTGCCTTCCCACCCCTCCTTCCGTGCCACTTTCATATCATGGTGCTTCATCCTGCCGTCCAGCCCACATTCCCATAAAATACCCATCCTGTTCCTCAGGAAGACACCGAAGGACGACTCTTTACAAATGGGGGAGCTGATCAGAGAGAAATCCGTAATTAAGAGTCCTCCTAGGACGTTTCTCCTTCACAGACGTCTCTTGGAAACCAACCACCACGAAGGTCTTCAGGTGGAAAGGAGCACATGTGATGGGAAGGCTGACTCTAATCTGCCTCTAAATTCTAGCCCCCCACTCCCTTCTCTGTCTCCATGCACTCCCCACCCTAGACCATAGCGGCTGCTGGCCCAGTGAGCTCCTTGCGGCCTGAGGCCTTCCCCGGTGCTCCTTGCTGCACCTGGGTCCCTGACCTCCAGCGCCCTGTGTCCGTCTGTCAGATACTGCCCGTCCCTCAGGGCCTGTGTCTAAGACCCCACCTCTAGGAAGCCCTCCTGTATTACCCGGCTGAATGTCCTTGGTCAGCTCCTCTTTAACAAGCCCAGAGCCCGGTGAGTGGGGGTAGGTCACACAGCTACAGGTTTTCCCCTTTAGTG